TGCTGCAACATAAGGTGTTTACTTAACGCCACAATATCCTTAGAAATGTAGCGTGTGCTGCAACATAAGGTGTTTACTTAACGCCACAATATCCTTAGAAATGTAGTGTGTGCTGCAACATAAGGTGTTTACTTAACGCCAGTTTTTAATGAGATGATTATCATGGATGTTATTACAGTTCCAAGAAAAAAAAATATATTTTATAAAATGAGGTAACAGATAAATTAACAATATTTTTCTAAATTCATAATTCGATTAAATAATATCCTTGAAAAATTAGCACATGCCTTACAAAAGATGTTCTTTTAACACTAGTTGTTAACTAGATAACAGTTACCATTACTAGTTAGTAAAAGATAGTCAGGACGTTTAGGTGCAAGTGTTATCCTAAATTTATGTTGAACTAGGCAGAAAATATACGAAAACTGTTTGAAACTAGAAGAAAAAAAACATAAATATGTTCAAAATGACGGTTAATGGCATGAAGTGTTAAATTTTTAATTTTTTGCTTGTTAATTATAATAAATTATTAGCTGGTTAAACCATATAATACAGATAAAACAAGAACCTTCTGTTATGTACTGATCTGAATTTTTGTAGCTATTTTTAACTTACATTAGTTAAAATTATTAAATTAGTGGTTTATAACTCCATGTATGTATGTATGATAAAAATAGTTTTTGAAATGTTTACAATCAAGAAAGTAGTATACATTTTGTATACTTGAAATGTACTCATGATAGCATATACTATAGAATACATTTCAAGAAGGCACTACTGACACCCCTGGGGTTCTTACTAATCTCTGTTGATTGAAAAAGTTTCACTTCATCTTTCATAATTGTAATGTTTCTTTGGTCTGATGTAATCTCTGATGCTGATATACAGACAGCAAGAAAATATCATTCCAAAAACCTATAAAAAAGAAATTTTCATTGATAAATAAACATGTATATATATATATACATACATACATACATTTTGAATCCAAACTCATTTCTCAACGTATTATTAACTGCTTCCCGTTACAACAGAATAGTACAAACTAAGAATTGTCTTTGACTGCCATATTTTCAAGATATATATTGTATTCTTTCAAATTTGAAAACGTTTTCAAACAAACATATACGTATTCAGTTACCAACCGTATTTTATACTGTCATGTTTCCAATATATGCATTCAGTTGACAACCATATTTGATACTGTCATGTTTCCAATATACATATTCAGTTGACAACCATATTTGATACTGTCATGTTTCCAATATACGATGGTTGTCAACTGAATAATTTGATACTGTCATGTTTCCAATATACGTATTCAGTTGACAACCATATTTGATACTGTCATGTTTCCAATATACGTATTCAGTTGACAACCATATTCGATACTGTCATGTTTCCAATATACATATTCAGTTGACAACCATATTCGATACTGTCATGTTTCCAATATACGTATTCAGTTGACAACCATATTTGATACAGTCATGTTTCCAATATACGTATTCAGTTGACAACCATATTTGATACTGTCATGTTTCCAAATATAAATTATATTCTTCTCCAAACTAGACACTCACCTGAACTAAGCAGAATCCCAAACCAACGGCTCCCAAGATGTTTAGGTGATCTTTGATCTGTTTTTCAAGTGCTCCGATGCAACTCTGGAAAAAACAAAAACAAATTTTCTCTGATTATTAAAAATCTAAATCAGTACATTAGCTGACTAGAAACTTAGGTCCTAACAATGTCCTAATTAGCTGACTAGAAACTTAGGAAGACAAAGTCCTAATCGATACTAAACTCACACGATGTTTAACAGTATATTCAACATCATTAAAGTGAAAAAGTCAAATGAGGAAAAAGGTTAGACCGACTCACGTTTAAAAAATATGTTGGAAAGAAATACAAAATAAGACACTTACTGAATAAAAACACAAATGGGAAATATGAAAAAAGGGCATTTTAATCTTTATACCAAACATAAAACGTACTTTTACACAAAATACAACGATGAAACTTACTAATTCTGGAAGTACTTCTGATTATTTTGCTCCAATGTAACATATCTTGAAACTCTCCATAATCACAGTTAACTGTACATCGTATGTCGCACAAGTCGCATGTGAAACATACAACTACGTTCACAGCAAGTAATGAATTGTTTACAAGCTTTGTTATATTATGAAAAAGAAACTGTGTTTTGATCGTTTCAACACAAGTTTTCTAAGTATATAACACTTTGTGTTTCAAGATGATTAGAATTACTGACAGGTGAATACAAAAATTATCTCAAATATCTTATTACTAGACAGATTAAATCCTCACTAAAAAGAGACATCTTCTGCTTTAGTTATAAATTGTTTTATATTTGCACACTGTAATATAACACATATAGTTTATCACGAGCTAGTATACTAGGGTTCAGTTACTGCCTAACACCTTTGTTCTTTAACTTGCCATCATCTCTGCAAAAGTGGAAATCAAACTAACAGTCGACATACCTTTAATAATCTATTTCTAGGAAAAGATTAACTGTAAGAACAGTGAGTAATTTTGTCTCGTTTCAAGAGATCATATTATTTACTGTGTTTTGAAAATACGCACGATACCATTTTCATACCTTGATACCTATTCTACTACTAATTGTGCTGAAGTTAGTATAAACCACAAAGAAATTTAATGAATACACCTACATCATCATGAATATTTGAGGGATGATCTCGAACACCACAAAAAGGTGTTTCTGTAATACAGCAACTGTCAGGCACTTTATTTTTCACATCAGGGTTCTCTTTCAGCCACCTGCTGTAACGCCAGTCTTCAAAATCCAGAGCTCCACAACATTTGTACTGAAAACACCAAACCTCTATTATTTAAAGAAAGGAACACAAATTAAACATTTCAAGGACAATATCAGTCATTAGTGTAACTTTCACAGGTGGTAGTGAGGGACATGTCCCCCCCCCCAAAAAAACTTTTCTAAAGATGGAATAATTTTTTTCATAGAATACCCTCATGTATATCCTAACTGCAGAAGTTCTCTCATCGCCCCCCACAATGAAAATTCCAGGCATTGGATCCATAGATCCTAACCATGGCATTTGGATTCACAGAAACTTGCCAGCCCCTGAAATGGTCTGTTTGTTGATACCTTGTCATCGTCATACTGTTTTTTCTTATCTACTCATCAACCTTACCCAAAACTTTGCCTTTTTCACCTTACGCCTATCTCACCTGCCTTGTGCTTTAAGATCTTCTACTTATGATGCCCAAATTTACCCCTCCATAATAATTAATGTACTTAGCCTCTAGATAAACAATAATTACCTGTAGCAGTGTGAAGGAAGATAAATCTATGTTTACTTCTCAGCGACCAACAAAGTAATGCTAATTGTTGATTTGTTCTCATCTAAATTCCTGTCAGGTTATTTAGGATCTAGGAACTGTAGAAACTGTCCCCCCCCCCTCCACATATTTGACAAACAAAGTTACAAAGAACAGTATTAAAGTTTATTAATTTAATGATGAAGACATTAATGGTCAATCTTGAGAATTTTCAACAAGCCAAAGATATCTTACCTTTCGTTGTAATTTGTCAATAGCATCAGTTCTACCTTGGTCAAAATAATAATAACTGTTGAAAGTCCCATTCATGGAGAGTGTAAGCTCAGAGCGAACCTGCAGGATAATGAAGTAATTGTGTTTATAACTATACCCACGTAGAAACTTACCATAACAAAACCTAACATAAAGTACAACAAACATCAACATGGGTATTACTGTTTATCATAAATACAGAAGAATGTTAATTAGAAATAAAAACAACAACATTATATGGTATTCAAATCCTAAGAATGTGCAGAGTTGTTTGTTGGTCTTTTCCATCAGTCTCTGATGAGTGAATAGTTTACTCAGAATACACAACTGGTATCATTAATACATTTATTAGTAATAAATGTACTAATGATACCAGTAGTGTATTCTGAGTAAACTATTCACTCATCAGAGACTGGTGGAAAAGACTAACAAATACTGTAGAAACAAATTAATCTCCTAATGTTTGTTCATCCACTGTAACAAAAAAGTCAACAGAACTGTATATCTAAGCTCAGCACTTTCAACAGTTAGGCCCTGTTAAAAAAGCATTACCTCACTGATTAACAGCACTCCAAACAGTTAGGCCCAGTAAACAAAGTATTAACCTGCTAATTACTGGCACTCTACAGAGTTAGGTCCCATTGACAAAGCATTATTACTTTGATAATTACCAGCACTCTACATATTTAGGCCCAGTCAACAAAGTATTAACCTGCTAATTACTGGCACTCTACATAGTTATGCCCAGTCAACAAAGCATTAATTACCAGTACTTTACGTAGATTCACCTGACATAACATACATGATAGATGATTATGTATTTTAAACAGGTATGTTCACCTTACATTGCATTATGTAAGAGTATGACATCAGTCAATTACTACTTCACATAGCTACGTTTACCTAACATATTACTTCTGAAACCAAACTTATGCATAGCTCAGTAACTCACAAATGTCAACTTAACTATTTTGTATCATTCAGTAGTAAAACCTCAACACTTGGTCAAAGAACACAACTTTGAGCACCTATACTTTAGAAGGAGGTTTGTAGTTCTGCAATGAATTATTAATTTTTTGCTGTTTCTGAAAATAAGGCTTAAGTTCACAAGTTTGACTTTCATATTTCGTCCACAAACTACATTAATCAAATGTAGTTGAAATTCTTTGGTTATTATTTTTATGCCCTGTTGTAGAGATTACAAAATAGTACCAGAACGAGTTCCAATGTGTCTTCATTAATTAAATCAATTACTGTTGACATCTCAATCTTCAGATATCATCCCAGTTCCAAATGTTTCTTTTATTTTACTTCAGTAGCTTATTTTTATCACCATACTATTATTGCATAATCTTGTTTCTTTGTCTACACAGTAACTTTTAAAGTTTGTCAATGCATCATTTAAATTGACTTGTCATCTTGGCTCTGTGGTACTTCCAGGTAAAACTGGAACCAACAAGTAAGTATTAAGTATTGCAATAATGGAAGAATCAAAAATTAAAAACACGTTGTTGAACAAATGAAATTAACACGGAAATCAAAGGACAAATTCAAACACCAACTTTAAACAAAACAATATTTATTTCTTATATACACTTGAACTATCAATATATGCTGATTGGTCCTTATTGTAATACTAACCAACGTCTTATATACACTTGAACTATCAATATATGCTGATTGGTCCTTATTGTAATACTAACCAACATCTTAGTTCAAGAGCAGCTTTCCTAGCTGTTGGAGCTATACTTCTCTACACCATGAAGACAAAAATTATTGTGTCTGTACCGCACTTTCACGTTAGATCAAAGTCTTAGTGTAGTATCTCATTATTTTATATTATACACATCAGTTTAAAGAGGTTAACTTCCTGCTCACATTAACTATACAAGTCTTTTCACTTGAGTATGGTCCACACTCATGGGAACAGACATTACAGAAACTTGACCAAACAGGTATAAGCTCTATGAAATGGCTACTGTATTAATCTAACTTTAACCTAAGACAAGGATTAATGCAAGTTTATAACTACTTATTTCATGTTCACTGATTACATTCTGATTAATCAGAGTAATTGAAAACATTAGATAATAATTTTCTATAATTGAATAAACAATTCTACCTAATTTCTTTTACTTCTTCATAAACGAAAGTTGTGGTATTTACACACTATATCATGGAAGTTTGTTGATACTTTAGTCTCATTTACATAATAACCATTCTCAGCCAATCAAGTTACTCGTTAAAATTTGTCAATAATCAGTCACGGTTGAAATGGCTTTCTAGCAGAAACACAAAGTTTCATTTATGGAACCACTTTTGAACTTCTTTAGAAAACCAAGAATCAACAGATCAAAGTTGGCAAACAGATTGAAAAAGAATCAAAATATAAGACACAGTTCTTACCTGTTCTTGATAAACATAGGCAATAACTCCAGCAACAGCCTCCAAAAGGAAGATTAGCAGGAGCATGAATGTGTACTAAAACAGAAAATCAAATTATTAACTTGCTTCGGCTTACGTTGTTGTGACAACAGTAGTCAGGCAGTGTAATTTTATTACATGCTATTTGGGGTAACAGAATGATGAATAAACATGAACATGAAGCATAAAAAAATATGAACAAAAAAATACAACTGATTCTCTTCATATTAAATCATGAAAGGAAAAACAACATTATGTAGCAAAAATAAACAAAACAGATATGGGTGCACAACAACCCATAATCATGAGTGAGAACTTGACGCTCTGATTAAATTTATCTAGCATCAGATCCACGCTAGATTTCTGAAGTTATATATAATTGAATACAAATTTTCTCTACATTTTTAGTTTTATCATCGCTGGGTTTAATATTTTGACAAGTAATAAGATACAGTATCTTTGAAACCCCTAATTTTATCTTTCAATATATACAATGAGTGTATTTAATTTACTAAATTTGTTACGCAATGCAGGAGGTACAAACTTAATATATACCAGTGGTAGAGCTAATCAGAAGATATGATTAATTATGTACTTTAAAAGACTGAACATAGTTGTCATCTTTTACATACATGTCCAGATTGCAGATCCATATTTTTCATTGGTATTTGATCAGTCAAAGTACTCCTAATGTTAATAATCAAACAAGACTGGAGTATCAATCACACAGAGACAATCCTTTTCTACTTCTTACTTTTTTCTTTAATATGAGTTTTCTTCTTTCTTACTATATTTCAAGGCATACATTATCAAATAATCACATTTCCCTCAACAAAGACAAACAATGGTCTTCCTTGTATTTTGGGTGTCACCAACAGTGCATGCTCAACAATAACATTTTTTATCACATAGATACTCACCTCTCCACACACAGAACAAATAGTTAGTGCTGTGCTGCTACTGCCAAAAAGGTTTTGGATATTCTCCAAGATTTTGAACAAAACTATCCCTACTGATAATAACGTGTACTGTGCCGGGACATGATGCAATCAGGATTAGACTATAGCCCTCTACCGATATGTCAGTAAAATTAACATTAATAATAAAATAAACAGTATTTTCTTCACAAAAATATCACTTAATTAACCTAAATTTGTATTTTTCATGTTTATTCTGCAGTGTGTGCTTTACTCCCTACAAGCTTTAATTTATTCATTCATATTACACACATAAACAAGTATATATTATATACTTAAAGCAAATATTACAGTAAACAACTTATCTAGACACACTGTATTTAAAAATCATATGGTATTTAATTCATATACTTTACAACTTATTAATTTCCCAGAACCATTTGTAAAACAAACCACTGTTCCAAAAAGAGATGTATAAACAGTAAAGCTACAGAGTATCCTGTAATGAACTTTAGCATTTTATATAATACATAACAGTTTACGTCAAAACTAACTTACAATTAACAGGAGGCAGCGATCTTCCTGGCGTACTCCAATACAACCAACCACTGTGACAAACAAAACTGTAATTCCAGCAATGATCAAAATATACGATGTTGCTGCATAGGTACTTGTAGCTAGCAGGTTAACATAGTGATGTTTCTCAATCACCGTCCACAGTCCTACCCCTAGGACAGCCCATCCTGCAAACTTAACAAATAAATTACAACATTAGTCTAGGTACTTGTAGCTAGCAGGTTAACATAGTGATGTTTCTCAATCACTGTCCACAGTCCTACCCCTAGGACAGCCCATCCTGCAAACTTAACAAATAAATTACAACATTAGTCAAAACCATAGTAATTTATGGTCAGTAATTATACACTTTTTTCACAATTTCACAATTTTTCTTACCAAATGATTTATACAATTATTAAAATACTAGATATCTTACCAAATGATCTATACAATTATTGAAATACTGGATATCTTACCAAATGATCTATACAATTATTAAAATACTAGATATCTTACCAAATGATTTATACAATTATTAAAATACTAGATATCAAATGATTTATACAATTATTAAAATACTGGATATCTTACCAAATGATCTATACAATTATTAAAATACTAGATATCTTACCAAATGATCTATACAATTATTAAAATACTAGATATCTTACCAAATGATCTATACAATTATTAAAATACTAGATATCTTACCAAATGATTTATACAATTATTAAAATACTAGACATCTTACCAAATGATTTATACAATTATTGAAATACTAGATATCAAATGATCTATACAATTATTAAAATACTAGATATCAAATGATCTATACAATTATTAAAATACTAGATATCAAATGATCTATACAATTATTAAAATACTGGATATCTTACCAAATGATTTATACAATTATTGAAATACTAGATATCAAATGATTAATACAATTATTAAAATACTAGATATCTTACCAAATGATTTATACAATTATTAAAATACTAGATATCTTACCAAATGATTTATACAATTATTAAAATACTAGATATCAAATGATCTATACCATTATTAAAATACTAGATATCTTACCAAATGATTTATACATTATTGAAATACTAGATATCTTACCAAATGATTTATACATTATTGAAATACTAGATATCTTACCAAATGATTTATACAATTATTAAAATACTGGATATCTTACCAAATGATCTATACAATTATTAAAATACTAGATATCAAATGATTTATACAATTATAGAAGTACTAGATATCTTACCAAATGATTTATACAATTATTGAAATACTAGATATCAAATGATCTATACCATTATTAAAATACTAGATATCTTACCAAATGATTTATACAATTATTGAAATACTAGATATCTTACCAAATGATTTATACAATTATTGAAATACTAGATATCTTACCAAATGATTTATACAATTATTGAAATACTAGTTTGGAAAAAATGCACCAAAGAATATCATTTTTTGTCTCCCAACATAGAGAACAGTTTTGCTTTTTTATTTAAAACAATAATAAAAGTACCATTTTTACAACTTTTAAATTATTTTGATAATATATATATATATATATTGGACGAGTAAAACTGGCATAAATTTCCTCAACAGGAATAAGCACTTACCTAGGCCATTAATTTAACTAGTTAACATAACAGGAATAAGCACTTACCTAGGCCATTAATTTATCTAGTTAATATAACAGGAATAAGCACTTACCTAGGCCATTAATTTAACTACTTAACATAACTTTTGTCAAAACATTTTCTTGTCTCCTTTGCTTGACAGTTCTTCCTTACACTTGCCCCCCACCAATTTTAACAAAATTGAGACACTTGTCTAATAGACAATTTTTTTTAAAAAAAAGCAATGTTATGCTTCGATATATTTAAAACACACAACTGCAGAAATAAAAATTTCCCTTCAAAAAATAATAAGTTAGAAATTGTAAGTTTGTAATGAGTAAAGTTAACTGACTGTTTATAAAACAACAAGTATATACATACACACACAAGCCAAATTAAATAACACACACACACACACACACACACATATATATATATATATATACACACACAAACCAAATTAAATTAAGATGATAAAACTTTTTATCACTATTATTTTAAGGTTTGGTCACTGGTGTTATCCATGTCATAAATATATGAAATTATGTGGTGTAAAACTGGAAACAATGGATAAGTCTTCAGTATGAACAACAACTTGTTTGTAAAGAATAAATGAAAATAAAGAGCATATGAAAGACTCATATACGTCAGTATGACATTTATACACACTCCCATGTAGACTTCTACACCCTTAGGAATTAATTAACTGGCTGATGAAGAAGAGGAATTATAATTCATAACACATCTTTATATGACAAATGACTGTTCATACTAAACCTCCAAATCCTTCTGCAGTATCCCAAAACTTTAGATTACTTATATTGGTAATCATTCTCATTTTGCATATTCAAGGGCAGATTAATTCCTAGCTCATACTAACTTGTACAAACTACCATACCACTCCTCCACTTGAATTTATGGTTATTTATGTCCTGTTCATTGGACATTAACTAAATGCAGAATACCTCCGCGAAAAATATTCCAGGATATAACTGAATAAAGATATGTTCTTTTTTATAGTTACAGAACGTTAAAATCTTGAAATCTTCAGTTGATACAGAATTATGATTTAAACTGTTAAAGGCTTTATTATTTTACTCATAAATTAACTTCCATGGTTAAATTATAAATTACTGGTTTTAGCGCAATGTTACACAATATGTTATCTGCGCTTAATCCATCACGAGGAACTGAGCCCCGGATTTTGGCGTTGTAGGAACGTAAACTTACCGCTCATCCAATGGAAGGGGGGCCGGCACCACGGTTAAAATTCGTTATATGCTAAAATGACAAATTTTATATCATATTCACTTTTTAAAGTTATCATGTGGTGAAAATATATATACATATATATATGTATATATTTTAATAACTAAAAATTATAGCAATCATGCAGAGAAAAAAAAAGTGAAAGCGTAAACTAATACTATTCTATTAAAATATGTGCTCAAACGCAGGCTCCTCCCTAAACGGACCTTATTACCTTGCGCTCGTGCAGGAACGTAATTGGCAAACCTGGTTAATCTCAAGCGAAGTACTCACGCTTGAGCTGTCAAGATTCTTAAACTATAGCGAAGGAAATATTCAGTGCACGTGGACAGAGTTACACATTTCCGCAACGTCGTAAGTTTACTGGAAAACGTTTCGTGTCTAGTCATTTCATAACTTGTGAAGACATATATATATATATATCAGTTCTAAATGTAGTCAGTTCATAACTTGTGAAGACATATATATATATAACAGTTTTAAATCGAAAAGAGTGGTTTCTAAACATTGCTGTTTGAATGTAACCTTGAACGTAATATGGACAGATCACTTAGTGCACGTGGTTTATTTATTTTTACTTGACGTTGCACAAATGTCTGTTTTGATGGTACGCTTTATATAAGCAGTCAGAAAGTAGAAAACTGACCCAACACTTAGGTATGTAAAAGAT